CTCTTGGATTTGAAGCAAATTACAAATTTTCACTAAAACATCAATTCCATTTTTAACTTGAACAGTGTATCTTTTTCAGTAATACTTGCTTTGGAAACAAAGAGAACTCTGAAGTAGTTAAACTAATCTAAAGAGAGTAATAATCATCGCAACCCAAAAAACATAATAGCAATGAGAGATGTAGTAGTGAACCCCACAGTATTGCTTACCTGGCTCCTCTCTTCTACCATTTTTACAATACTTTCTGTACCTTAAGCCATGAAGATTACAAAGCATTAGCTTTTGGTTTAAAAAAAAAAAAACAAAACAACAAAACAAACACACAAAAAAGTATTTGCAATACCATTCCCCAGGGAGTCTCAGACAATAAGATTATCTAGATTTTTATTCCTCTAAGTTCTGCAAATAAATCTACAAATTCAGTCTTCAAGACAACAAACAATAAAGCCATCAAGATAGAAGTCCTACAACAAATATGAAGCAGAAAAGAGTTTCTAAAAAATCAATACCTAAAATTTTAAACAGCTTCTTAATTACTTTCTAATGGATTTATTATTTTGGAATAAACCTAGTACCCAAATACTGTGTATTAAGATCAGGCTGTAAAACCTCCTGTGATCTTAAATGTTACACTTACCTCCACAATATTAAAACAGACTTTCTTTCAAAAAGAAAAAAAGAATGGTCAGAAGTCAATGCCTACAATTCTGTCTTCATGAAGAGGAAACTCAAAGACTAAACTGTCTGTTCCAAAGCTTTTTAGTGGAAAAAGGAGTATTTTCACAGTAAAACTTAATTTAAAACAGTAACGGGTAGACACATTTTTGGCCAGGCACTAGCCCAGAAACAGAGCGAGGGCTGAACAAAATCAAATGTATTATATTAATTTAGTCTAGGGGGAAAGGAATGCTTCCCTGTTCAGCAATTTCTCAAGTCCCTTGCCAATCCTAACATCCCCTGATGTTTTCATATTGCTTATGATGCTTTTCATTTGCGCAACCCAAAATCACACAAAAGGGTGAGTAGGTAAGTGTCTGGAACTTAGTGAAATGCTGAAGAGGTGGAAGTAACAGTGCAACAGCAAAGTTAATACGGTACAAAAGGAATAACAAACAAAAAAGCAGAAATTATTCCATTCCCACCGAAACCATAACCAGACTCTTCACCTGCTAGTCCTTATGAGACCACACACCCCTTCCTACCCAGTATCAGTCTTACAGCAATTCACCTTCCTGAGTCATTCTGAGACTGGAAGCCATCTTACCTCCCACTATTTGTTTTAGTCTAAGGACTATAGAAGTCAAGGAGATCCCCCAGACAGTCTCATGAGATGCTTCAGTGGAAAACTGCTTACATGAAGCTTTTAAGAAATACAGGAACTGTGAAGTTCAGCACAGCAGATCATTTTAGAGGTGCATAGAGACAGAGATACCTCCCAGTGAATCTCAGTCAGAAGAGAGGTAATAGAACAAAAATTTCCCTGATGTAGTTCTCCTCTTCCCAAATTCATCAACAATGTTAAAAGCAAAGACTAGATAAATAAAAAATAAATAAAACACAGCAATTGTGAAAGTATGAGTTCAGTAATTTAGGGATAAATGTCTTACACTTTAAAGTAAAACAAAACTCCTCATGCTATCCAGTAACATTTAATCAAATTAAGTGTTTTTAAATTTTTTCAGCTATTCACACACTGAAGTTTAAAATGCAGTGGTGTCAAGAACATTAATATTTTTAAAATGCTTTTTGCTAATCATTACAAAATTAACCACAATTTTAATTTGTGAAATGAACAAATCATCATTGAAGAAACTCCAACACTAAAGGGAAGACAAAGCTCAGTAAACATGTTTAGTTCCTTGTAACCCAAAGTCTGGAACACCGTATCTATTCCTACCCACAAGAAACACTTCCAAAGTCCAGTTCTGAAAGTGCCATTTTAAACAGCTATATTCCCTCATGCTTTCTCACATCTGCTCTTGCACTGTGTACAATTCACAAATGTCTTATCAGTGCAGCTATAAAATCAGTTTATGTCCCTCTTACTCCCCACTAGCACCGTACAGTACAGCATATTTTCCTGAATTACATGCTGTGATCATCACTGTTTAGCTGCACAGCAGTTCTGCTACATCAGAGCTGCATCCAGGAACTCATGCTCTTTCCCCAGGTGTAATGAAAGCTCCAAGGAAGACAATATGCAATATGGATGTGCAGAGTCCGTCACAAAAAAACTGTAGCTTTGGTAACCTTTCCTCCCTCTAGTGACTTCTCCATATTCCCACTTGTAGGATATATTACCCTTCAGTATTAATGTAAAAGACAAAAGAAAAAAAACCACCTTAATTAAAAAGCAATTTGAGGACTGCTCTGCCAAACGAAGCATTAGACTCAGCCACTACATTGTAAAAATAAGAATGCAATCCCATGTGACCACTTAATATACTTTATTCTATAACTGGAATGTGTCTGAGCATGCTGTGTAAAATCAGTCCTTACCACTTAAAAAGGTCACAGGACGCTGAGGTTGTATAGTTTTATAGAACACAGCATCTAATCGATCTGAATAATGTTTTGCAATAGACAATCTTACCTCTTCATGCAAAGCAAAGAGTCTGGATTTCTGAACATCATTCTCTAACGGATGCAAATTAGTGCTCTAATATGGGAAAGCATAGATTTTTCCCTATTTCTGTAGTACCTAAAGAAGTACAGAGGTACGATCATCAATAATGACATCCCCTGACTGTTTTCATGAAAGATTTAAGATGAGAACATAGCACTGCTTCATCTGTGTGAATTACTCTGAATAATGCTAAGTGCTTGCAACTCATGCTTGCAAACTGTTTTAAGACTTTCATGAGCTTTTCTTATCAGTTTCAACAGACTTCAATAATACTGAAAAACAAAATTAAAATATAAAAGAGGTTCTAGAGCCTTAATGAGGAGAAGAAATGCTAAAGCCATGCAGGAAAGTTTTAAATGTGTCTTACAAACAAATTTGTTATTAATTAAACAACATAATGCCTATTTTATTAGTAAGTAGACTTAAAAGGAAAGATTAACTGAGACATTGAGCGTTGGAACATATATTCTGGCATAGACTGATCTGACTGATACAGTAGGTAAAATATTACTACTGTTTACCCAGATATAGGACATCTTTAAGTGTAAAATTTTCTATGAGATTTTCATTACTATATTCTTAAATTCCATGAAATAAAGGTCTCAAACATTTCTGAAACTGTTTTTATAATTTTAAATCTCGGGGCAGGGGAGGGAGTTGGGGTGTGGAGAAAACAATCCATATTACTATCTTGGACAACACTACGGACACAAATTTGTTGCAGAGTCTGAAGGAATTTCAACAGCACTCCATGCAGTTGGTCCAGTTCCCAAAGAGCATCTGGGACCAACATCCATCTGCACCAGGTGGCCTTTTCCTTGGTCCATAAGCAAAGAGATCATAAAGCATGTAGTCGTCAGGGTAGTGGACAGAATTGATTGTTTTGCATGGGCAATACTTATGAATTTAGAGTTTCTGCTTGGACAACTTCTATTTGTTTTTTGAAAAGTGTTAACTTGTATTTAAGATCACTTGAAGTATAATACATTATTGTGGGTCTGGAAAGCGTTGCTGCCTGTAGCAGTCATTTCACCTTAAAATACACCAGTGTATTTCAGCACAAAAAGTATATAAAAGAATGTATGTGAGAACTGTTGGCTTCACAGTGCAAGAAAAGCAATAAAAAATAATTTCTGCTTCCACATCAAAACCAAAATGTTCTAAAGTTCTTCATTCTAATACCCAAAAAGTCAGTGCCTGACTGTTACACCAACGCAAGGATTTTATTATAGTATAAAACACCTAAATAATCTCTACTGTCATCCACCTGAGCAGTAGTTGGATATTTATAATCGGGTGAAAAAACAACATTTCAAAGCCAGATTTGGATATCATGATGGACACTTAAATCAATCTTATAAGCAATACTTCTGCATGGAAGGACAACCCTTCTTAAAGACTGATGTGGAATATAAGGTTCTGTCTCTCCCTGGAGTCAGCAGGTTTCAGATACAACACTGCTACTATCTCTTTTAGTACAGGATCAATGACTTCCACCTCACTAGAATCCCAGTTGTCAACAGCAGACTCCCATGAGATTAGTTCCCTCAGCAGCAAAATATGTACGTGACAAAGGGAACAGTATGCCATTATCTCAGATACTCCTCCCATACTTTTTTTTTCATATATCTTCTCTATTTGGTTTATAGAAGCCTAATAGTAGACAAAACAAGTAGATGAAACAGTAATTTGGAATAAAACTTTAATTATATCTTACTGGCAGAATGTTAGCTTTGCAACCTTATACTGAACATTATAATCACCATGAACAACTATCCTTTTAAACAGATAGTAGTGTTAAATAGAGGTTTAACACTACTTGTACTGAGATATTTGCTGGAGTGAATTTTTTTTATAAAATTGTCTTATTTGGTTAAAGTTAAAAGTTTATAACACAGGTTTTTGAATAATGATTAGAGTACATCTCTATAAAAATAGGTATCACTAAAATAATAACATTTGCAAGCCAGCCTTCAATAAAAAAGGAACCAGGCTGTAGATCCAGACTGTTCCCATTCTTTTGCTGCTGGAGGTCAGAAGAAACTGAAGTTACTAGAATGTCATGTCTCCTTTTATTGCAATGCCACTGCAACATTTGGAAACAATGAAGAGACAAGAAGAAATGTGAGAAAGCTCTAACAGACAACACTTCCAGCAGAAGTACAATTCCAGAGCTGCACTCAATTAAACAGGAATATACATAAGCCTCTGCAAAGGAGAGTGAACCATATTACTTTCTTAATCTGAAACTTTGTAAATGACATAATACATGCTTTAATTTTAGTATGCAAATATCATGTTGTAAAAATATCATAGGCTGATGGGTTTGGGGTTTGTTTGGTTTTCAGAACCAGTATTAGCATATCCTTCTTACCTTTTTATCTTCTTTAGACTTCCGAATGCTGTGTGGAGGGCCAAATTTGTTCTGTATGCAAAACATCTTCTTAGACCATTCATTTTTATGTGATTTTAACTGTGGCTGACCAAAGTTGCCATCGACTCTGTATCTGTCAGCTGGAATCTTATTCATTGGCGGAGGAAGAGTTCCACAATTAACACTCGACCAGCCATCCGTAGAATCAGTGTATGACTCCTGGTCACTCACATTCCCATGCTGCCATTCCTGTAAAACATGCACAGGCAACCACCTTTGATTGCCCATGCCAGCAGTGTTTTTCTTTGATGGGGGTACTGAATTCCGGGAGGAAACCAGTGGAACTTCAATACGAGCAGAAGGACTTAAATGTTTGCTTACATTTTGGGACTTATCATTCTGAATTACTTCTAAAGGAATGTTTCCTTCTTGTTCATGACAGAAGCCATTCCAGTGGGAAGCAGGCTGATTTGGTCCCCTTCCCACTGGATTTTCCCATATGCTGTTAGGAATGTGCTTACTCGGATTGCTTCCTAAATCAACTACCAGAACTCTGTTATTCTTCTCTTCTTGGTTAAAATTTCCAATTCCACTATCACTGTTGCTGCTTGTGCTATTATTCTGGTGAGCATCTTGATCACCATCAAGAAAAGCCCTTGCACGCATTCCCTCAATCAATTCTCCCATATCCCTGTACAGGACAGAAATAAACTGAAGAACAGGTAGAGATGATGTTGGAAACTCCAGACACCCATTTGTGTCTGGATCTGCTGTACATTCCAGTCCAAAGCGTCTTGCTATGCCCTGGTGAATTTTATGATGAAATAATTCAGGATCCACCATAAAAACATGACAAGATGTCCTCAGAACCCCTTCATCCTCCTGAGCCAAGCTTGCATCGTCATTTGTCTGCATCGTAACTAGTCCAAAGAACCTTCTATCATCTGGGCAAACAGCACTGAATGCCAGTTTCTCTGCAGGGTATTCTGCCAGTATACCTGATTTGTCACTGCAGAGCTGAATACAGTCATGCATTATCTTCATCATCACCAGTGAATGGATTTTTTGTTCTGCCCGCAGACGTCTCATGCACCCACGAATAGCCTGCAAACTCTCATTTTCCAAATTCAAGGTTGTCGAAGGAAGCTCAATTGAGCCCAGGTAACCTACAATCATGGCAACATTTAAAATGCTTGCATCTAATCCAAATTCTTCTGCGCTCTCCAGCCCAATTCTAAAAACTGAATCATCATTCAGGGGTTTGAATATTTCTTCCTTTGACAGTAGGTTTGGATTGCTTACACTTTCATTGCCAGTATCAAATCTGATAGCAGCAGAAGCGGAAAACGATCTTTGTTTTGGTCCGGACTTATCTGAGTTACCAGCACAAAGAGTAGGATTCTCAAAGATCATGTTGAAAATGCCACCAGACTGCATTTCTTCAACAACTTTCTCTGCTCTGTTTATACCCAGAGCTTTAGAGTCAGGTTTGGGTTTCAGCCACCCCTTCCCATCATAGAAACCAACTTCTTCATCACTTGAACATGAATCTATGTGACTAACCCCTTCAGCAATAACCATGTGTAGGACTCCAGAACATTTTCCTATAAGTTTCACTACATCTTCATGAGAGGCTTTTTTCACATTGATTTCATTAACTGCAAATATCTGATCTCCTGCTTTAAGTCCAACATAATCTGCAGGGCTTCCTTTCATAACACAACTAAGAATACAAGGAGCTTGTCCAGAAAGGGTAAACCCATAACCTGCTCTTCCTCTAGCAACTTCCACACTTCTTATCCGAGGAGGAGCATGCATGTTGAGTCGACGTTTGACTGTTTCCCCTGGTCTAAACATTTTGGTTGGTTTTCCAAACAAAAGAAAACTTTTAATTAGCCCATTTTTTGGTCATGTTGCAAGAGTATCACTCCTTCATCTGATGGAGCTCTAAAGAAAAAAAAAAAAGAGAGAAAAAAAAGAAAGAAAAAAAAAAAGATAATTTAATTCTCACTCATATTTCAGGTTTTTTAGTACCCAGTTTCCCTTTACTGTTCAGAAATATTGCTAGTCAACTATACCAAAACCTATCGCTAGAGAATTAACATAATACTCAAAGCAACTTGAAAAGAATAGGTACCACAGTCATAAATTTATTGATAAGAAAGCAATAGGAAATGCAAACAAAATGTCTGTCCAAAATGACAAAGTAGGTGAATGGCAAAGCATCAAAACCAGAACCAAAGTCTTCTGATGGACAGACAGTGTTTTTATACTACAGCATGTTTCACCTTACCCAACTCCACCACATAACATTCTATTCATTTAACTTCTGGCTTACAGCACCACTGAAATACCACGACATTTCACAGCACAGCTCATCTATCCTTTCCCAGCAACATACAAATTAGGGCTCAAGTGTATCTACTCAGCTGTAGCCTACCCCCTTTTATACTCAATGTATAGAAACAGGTACCAAATGTAAACATGTAAAACAGGTTAGAGAAATTACCCCTAGTTGCCTGCATTTCTCCATTGACCAACTACAAAAGCAACTTAAAACAAGTATCTCAAACTTCAACTCTGGCATATATGTTTCAGTTACATATGCAACAACAAATGGGCATTCAGTCATGTATTTGACCAAAGGGATCCAAAATCATATTTACTCTTAAACCAAGAAATTAACCTACTCAAAAATAATTTATCAGAAGGCAAACACTGTAGAAAATACATTCAAGTCATTCCAACATCCATGTGTTTTAGTTTAGCTTAAAATTTAAAAAAGAGGAAAAAAAGGGGAGCTCCACATGCTGCAAGTATTAATCTAGTAATGAATTTACAATTAAGATAAAGCAGCTTTATATGAACAGCAAGAAATATTAGATTTCATTACATTTTGGTGTTGATTCTGAATCTGGATGTCTTGTTCTAATTATACCCAGGTGAATTCCATTGTTTTAGAGAGGTTTGCTCCACTAAGCAAGTTAAAATGCGTAAAAAAGTTTCAACACAAAGAAGAGAAAGAGAAACAATAACTTGTTCAACTTTTGAAACTATTCCCTTGTGGCATGATACGACCTCTTACTTCCACAGGTCTGGAGGAAGACTGACTAAACAACTGGAGGACTACAGCTACATAAAACCGCAATAAACTCAGCCTGAGCAAGTGAGAACTAATCTGAAAGTAATTACTGCTTTGAGCTGGTCCCTCGGCTTACTTGTAACTCTGCCACATTGTAACATATTTAAAGTGTACAAGGTACTTGAAAGCAAGTATCTGGTGTATGTGGGCAAAGAACAGGCAGCATTTTAGATAGATACCCATACAAATGTACACACACAGGAAGACGCACATTGTTTATTGTATCTAAAGTGTTAAATTAGTAGCGTCCAACCCAGCGCTTGCATGAAAGAAAAATGACCAAGCAATCTTTCTGACATTGGTCTCAGCTACAGAAATAACAAAGTACCCCACACTCAAAGTGTGCTGCAATTCACAGCACTCAACTGTCACAGTATTTCTGCCTGGAACACAACGAACTGAAGTTCCACACTACAAAAAAACATCTAAAATACAGTTTGTCTTGACTACTTTACTACATATGAGCTGTTTGATTACCAAATATCTTGGACACTCTAATATCTTGAATATTCTGCTAAACACTCAACTACAGGATATAATTCCCTTAGGATCCTTCCAAATCCTAAACAGGACAGTCTTCAACATACTGGAAGACATCTACTTGGCTTTACTTTTGGCTTTTAATTTGTATTTTTTATGAACAAAGGGACATCAGGTTTTTATATCTCCATGGTGCAGCTGTGACTGTTCAGTGTAATACGGTTTTTGCAAATTGTTTTAATATAGCAATTATCTAGCTTCAATAACAGTTCCCCTATAATTTGGGGAAAGAAACTTAGTTTTCAGAAGTAATGAAACTTCACACTTAACCTTTGAATGGAAATCATAACATAAAAAATGCTTTGCAAACATTTAACCAAACTCACATGTTGCCGTATAAGACCCCTGCCAACTCGCATCCAATCTCATGCCTTAAACACAGATTGACCTTTTCCTGATGAGGCTAAACTTGTGAACCAAGAGATCACTGTGCATTCAGCTATCTCAAATTAGGTCTGGTACTTTCTGAGAACAATCATTTCAAACATTTCAAGATACAGTTCTCCAGCCAAAAAAACCCAACACAACAAATGCCCAACAATAAATAAAAGTCTATGAGCATGAATATATACATGGTTTAGCTTGCTTCACAGTGAATATTTCTATTCTTGATTGTCAGGAGAATGTGTCCCACAGGTATCCTCCAAAACTGTGCTGCTGACTTGGTCAACATAAAGCACTGCAGTATGTGGCACCAGAAAGTGTGGTCCCAGCTTGCAAGAGGAAAGGAAGCAATTAGGAATATTAAATTATAAATAATCTGATTTTTTAAAAATATAATAAAAAGCAGTCATTAAAAAAAATAACATTAACTATTCTAATTTTGAAGTGGTTCATAAGAAGAACAGATTTTTCCAGCTACATTTCTAATCTATAACAAAAATACCCTAAATGTAACTATAAAAAACACAATGAAAATGTAGTTAGACTGCTCTAGGGAAGAAGCAAACCCCAGAGCTGTCTTAACTCATGATTCCACATTTGCTACTTCAACTCTATTCACAAGTCAATTTATTTACTTGCCTTCCTAACCTACACCCCTTACACATCAAGCATTATTCCACATGATAACCACTGATAAGGGAATTTCATATCAAAACCTGACCATTATGAAACCAACCCAGCAGCTGCTAACACATTACCTTTCTCAAATGTGAGTTCCAGAGACTTGAAGACTTCCAGATATATTAATGTATTTGTGTGATTTTGTAAGTGCTAAGTTAGGAAGTAATTCGACATTAGAAGTTTTTTTGCTATTAAAGTGTATTTAGACTAAAAATAAAGGAAGAAAAAATTGTGGTTTATCACTGGAAAAGTGATTTCCTCCCTCCCTCACTGAATATTCTTGTGCAATTTTTGTGCCAACTACATTCATGACAAATAACAGCCCACTGAAATTATCTAGGAAACTTTAAGACACAGGACAAATGCAGCTCCTCTGCAAGAACCCTCAGCATTCAAATACACTTTACTCAACAGCAGTATGTCAGGCAAATGGAAAAATCATGAAAATAACATTTCTCATGATCAGAGAGGTTCCAACAGAGATTAGTTGAGTGACAAACTGTTAAAAAGAACATCATATTGTCTAATTGCCTTCATTGCTTTGCAGATTTGAAACCTGGAGCTAAAGAGATATGGCACAAAAATGGCACAAACCTCCTGTTTCAAAGTAACACACAACTGAATACCCTTTTCCTGCAATAAATTACAAAATGTGCAGTGCATCCAGTGAAAGAAAGGCATCATTTAGTTGCACTGTTGCAGGTGTCTGCATGTTTACTAATCCATGGAATTGTTAGTGAACTATATAACCTGCAGTAACTGTCACAAGTAACCAAAGAGAAAATTGAGCTGTTTTCAGTTCAAAATACTGACTCTTACTCAGCCTACCAATAATACACTGTTGTAATTACTCCTAATAATTATAGCACTGAATTTTATTAATTTGATAGCATAACCATATTCAGTCACACCCAGTAGGTCAGAGAAAAGGTTACACCACAATACTACACATGGCCAAGCTTACTTTGACCTTCTGCTATCGCCAAGTATGATAAAGTAAGTCCTAAAGAAAAAAGCCTGTACAATACCAAAACACATTAGTGATTATTAGTCAGGAGGATATGAGCATTTAATAGGAGAAAACAGGCCTATAAAGGCAGAATAATTTGTAACACATAATAACTAAATTTTAAAGAAATAACACAGTTTTGTGACATTCAATATATACAAACATTGAAAATATGGAAACCCTACTACCATTTGAAGCACAGTGCAAACATAAAAAACTATGATATCAGAAAGTTCATCAAAATTTTAATCAACACAGGTTAGTAATATTACACAGAACAAATACAGTTTAATACTTCAAAATATTTCCCAAGGTATTTCAGACAGAAGCACTAACATCTACAAATTAAGAGTCTAGTATGTGAACATTCTAGTATGTGAAATAACATAATTTGTCCTATACATCAATTTTGTCACAGAACTGCAAAACAAAAAGACTAAAATGAATGCTGGCAGGAAACTGGAGTCTTTCTAACATTTCAATTGTTTTGTATGAAACACCAAAAAATACTGGTTACATCTGAACAGCACTTTATCCCACAAACACTGAATTTCTTTATGTAGTCTTTTTACATACCCATGCTAGCATTCCATGTCATATTCAAACCCTATACTCCATAGAAAATAATACTTATTTGCTTACTTTCAAGGGAGAGAGGTGGTTTGTTTCCTGCTTCTGCTCTTACTAACTCATAGCAACAAAACTAACAGACACAGGAGGAGGCATTCTCCTGTGTTAGACTCTAACCTTAACAGTTACAGAGGGCAGTGAGGGAGCATGCGAAGTTAAAGAGCACGTTAGTGACCACCAGTTCATTTTGTGAAAATGAGCTGATACTCAGCACTACAGGATCCATGTCAGTGTGCTTCACTTCGGTTTTCAATAGCGAGACTGTAAGAGGATAAAACGTGCAAAGTGGAAGCACACAGAGAAGACTGTTCCCTCACTCCTCGCTTACATCTCAAAGTACCGCAGGAGACTCTTCAGCATGGGTGCCACCCATTAAGGACTGACTTTTGCAAATGATGCCACTACAAAGCTCAATCGAAGCTATAAAATTTGAATTCCACTCACTATTCAAATGTGGTACACGTTTATAGACAAGTTACACGAGAACTATAACAGCACAACCCATTGAAGACAGCTACCAGTTGTTTGAGAACTTGGGCGGGACAGTATTTTACTAAAAAACCTTATCAGCCCAATTGGCAAAACATACCATTATGCTTCCTGTATAAGCAGCAACTGCTCTGCCAGAAAACAATTAGGTGTACCTACTGCAATCATTCAAAAGCTACTGACTTTAATTAGTAACAGTAGGCTAAAACGACTCTTCTCACACCGAAGCACTTGTACAAAGTGTAAAGAACAGAGGATATTCGCTGTTTTGTCTGACTAGACTAAGCACCTGAAGACAAAATTTTCTGAAGCTACCCTATAAAGTCGTGTGTTTACAATTCAGATTAAACTTTCTGAGTGTATTTAAAGTGGTGAAAAGGTTTTGGGTAGTTTGGCATGTTTTTCCCCATCTTCTCTTGCAAACACGTTCCAAAACGGCGAAAAGGGGCAGCACTTCAGGCTGAAGCAGCGACACGCGAGGTCTGCTCGGGGATAAAAGCGCTCGGGAACAGGCTCGGGATGGTCCGCACTCCACGGCGCTCACAGGAGAGCGAGGAGCCAGCAGAGGGGCACCTGGTGCAGCCGCTCTCCGAGTTACGCTGCGGGCTCCGGCCGCGCCGGCGTGGCCGCGTCCCGGGAGGGTTCGCACCTGGCGGCGGCGGGAGCACCGCCGGCACTGGAAGCGGCAGGCCGCGGAGGGGGGCGAGGAGAGCGGGGTCAGCGCCATCCCGAGCAACGGTCCGCGGGGTTACGCATTAACAGCCGCTTCCCGGGAGGGTGGAGCTGCGGGGAGGGGACAGGCGGCACCTGAGCCCGCAGGGGCGGTTTGAAAACTCAAGCGGTAAAAGGACGGGTGCGAGGAGTGCCCGAGACCCCCCCTCCCCGCCGCTCCCCGCTCCAGTCGTGCCGTCGGGGGTCGCGGGCAGCGCCGCAGCCGAGGGGCGCGCAGAGAGGGCGGCGCGGGCGCTGCCCTCTCCCGGCTCCGTCCGCGGAGCTCCGCTCCCCTCCCCCCGGCTCCCCTCAGGCCGCCCCTCGGCTGCCCCCCTCCTCTCGCCACTCCCCGAGCGGGGTCCCAGGCCAGGCGCTCGGCGGCGAGGGGCCAGGGAGAGCCTGGCGGGCGTTCCACGCCCCCCCACGCCCCGGACCCACTCACCTCCGTGTCCCGGGACTCCGGCCACTCCACTGAGGCACCAGCTCCCCTGGTCACCGAGGAGACGGGCGTCGGGCTGCGCCGCAGAGCGCTCCGGCCACTGGCTGCGCGGAGCTGTCAGTCACCGCGCTCGCCCGGCAGGGGTGGCGGTCGGGTTCCCGGACAGAGAAAGGGGAGAGACAATACCCAGCGCTAAAGAACTACAACTCCCGGCGCGCTCTGCGAGGGCCGCGCTCACTGCGGCCGTGGGGAGCGGCCTCGCGGGGGATGCCGGGACTCGTAGTTCCTCCGTCTACCCCGAGCCTCCTCGGCGGGGCGCGGTGGGCAGCGGGCGCTCCGCCTCTCCGCTTCGCGCCGAGTGGAGGCAGTGCGCAAGCGCATGTTGCCGGCGCCCTTTCGAATGGGGCTGGGGGGGGCGTGAGGAGCGGTCGAAACCGGGATGAAGGGAGGGATTAAATGGTCAATATCACTCATCAGCGAGAGCTTGCTCGGTTTTGTTGGAGCTGGGAGAACAAGGTGGAGCCGGTACTCACCTCAACAGCACGGTGGCGTTAGGTCTTAGGGGAGAGTTCGGTTAGAATAACCCTCAGTTCTGTGGCGACGCTGAGGAGACAGGGCAGGTTGGTCAGGGAGGATGGGCCGGGAGGCGTTCAGAAGTGCACCAAACAGGTATGCCGTGCCTTTGAAGGCCGGGAAGAAAGTGAGACAGAGCTTACAAGGTAAAGGTAGAAGGGGGAGGGCGCAGGGTGGCACTAGGCTCAACAATCCCATGAGGGTGAGGGGGTAGGTGAGGCGTTTCGTAGTAATTGAGTGTCCAAAGGGCAAGAGTATGTGTAAAGGGGAAGTTTTACCACCTATATAGAGCAGAGCACAAGCGCCAAGTTCTCAAAGTACACTGGGAACAGCTCTATTTCTAAAGGGAAATACTAGAAAACCTTATTTTAAATAGAACAAATAGAAAGAAGGGAAGATAGTACACATAAAGTGAACATCAGTTCGGAGATTTGTGAGGAATAGTGTCCAGAAAAAGGGAACAAAAACCTCTTTGGCTTTCCTACAGAACCTGAAAAAAAAAAAAAAAATCATTATCTTTGCTGAAAATTGCAATCTTCAATTGTTTGCAAGGACTTGTAGAACTCCTTTATAAGTGGGGGTTTTCCTCATTTAAGTGTCTGTGCACTGGAAACCTGAAATAGAACTGAGCCTACCAGTCGCTATGTGAAGGAGTATGCACTTGCCTTTTCCGTCTGGTTTGGCTTTGGGTTTGTTTTGGTTTGGGGTTTTTTTAGTCTCCAGAGTAAGATATTTATCCTACAACTCACTGTTGCTGTTATACCTGTAAGGTAACTTTTAAACTGCAAAACTGTGGCTTGATGGTTTCAGTTCAGTAAGTTGTCTGATTTTTATCCAGTCAAGGCAATTGTTTCTTAGTATCTCCTCCCCCTTTCTGAAACACAGTATACTGGAGTCTTCAAGCAAAATGAAAACACAGGCCAAGAGGAAGAGCTCTTTGGAGAAATAGAGGATCCTGCTCTTTTACTCTAACCTCTGCCTTCTTATTCTGCTGTTTTTGTCAGTCCATCCCAAGGAGATTTCTACCAACATGAAACATTGCAGATCATTTTAGATCCCAGTTTTGTTATCTCTCTTACCAGGTTTTATAGAAAAAGCTTCTGAAGGGGAAAATAACCAAATTAAAAAAAAAAAAAGCACTATCTTTTCCTCATCCTTACAGAAGACATCTTGGCAGATGAATGTAAAATTGCAAGGTGGTAGACCTCCTAACTTATGCAGCCACACTGGGCCCTATAAAGGTAGTTAGTGATCCTTTAGAGAGGCTAAAATTCAAAATGAATAAAGAAGAAAATTGACTGTTTAATTTTAAGCCTCACATGATTGATCCTTCCAGGTGTGATGCTGTAATTTAAACAAATACTGCAGAGATCTAGATTTGCCCAAAGAAGCAACACTTCTTTATCCCTTTGACTGGGAGGAAGTTGCAGGGGCAAGAATTGCATTGCACAAACAAAAGGTGGTGTTTTGGGTTGTCATCACTTAACAGTCTAATTATTTCTACATGAGGCTGCTAAGGCTGTATGTCATTTGCCACTGTTTCTGTTGCCTGTGCTGCCCCACCAGATCTAGTATTGGCTTGCACTACCTCCTTGCCTACAAGGAGATAAGATCGGTCAATGAGGTATTTCTAACATCCTGACCTTGTATACAACTGTAACAGAAGAAAACCTTTCAAAGTGACAAGTAGTTAAGTGATATTGTAACTATTCCACAGAGGTATCTGCAGGTCTCCCTTTGAGTCTTCATGAAGTTAACAGAAAGAAATGCCTTAGTTTGTTTTCATGCTAAGAAGTGGCATCAGCATCTTGTAACTATAAAATAATTACTCCATGGCAGTGTCAGATTACCTCTTTCACAGATACTAAAGCCCTTCTATTTGTGATAGCCAACAGAGTTGATTGGACTTTTGTAATAGCATAGAAGTATGTAATTTGTCTTTGCAGGCAGCTTTCTGTAGTAGAGCAGAATTTCCTACACGAGTACTGCCCAGCAAGGAAGAAGTGAGCACAGAAGACGGAAGTGGAAAGAGGTGTGCTCACACAGCCCACTTGCAGTCAGAAATACCCATCTCATCACTAATTAATTTAGTACTTTTCTTAAGTGTTTTTGGAAATGGTGATTAAGACTTTATGTTATGCTCTTGAGCAAGGTGATTAATGGTCCCTGAAAAATCCACACAACGTCTCAGCTGTAACTTTTCTTACTGTTTTCATCTCTGTTGGAGACAAAGGAAGAAAGAGTGTGAAACAAAGTGATAAGGATTTATGGCTTTTAGGCTGTAACAGCTTTGGCTTATAAGCCTTAAGGAGCTTAACACTGGGTGTACAGACATCTCAATCACACCAAGGGTGGCTGTCACAAAACAGCTCGTCAGATTTGATCTGGAGGGGTTTACAATGCATCCTGTAATGAAGTGTGGTTATTGCTGTCACAAACCCTAGATGAGAAGTCAGAAAATAAACTTGGTCCAAGTACTTGTTGTATACAAAAATTGGAAATATTTGCATACAGTGGAGCTCCTTGAGCTCCATTTTTCTTCCCTTACCTGTAATTACGTATGGTTAAAGTTGGTGTCATGTTAAACCTCCAGTGCTGATGAGCATCCGTAAATGTATGTAACCAAAACATGTACCCCATGATGCAAAGTCCGTGATTTTAATCACCATTGTTTAATTACCTTGGTTAAAGGAATGAAAGTGTTGGTTGCTCCTAGAAGGTTTTACTTTAGACAAACAAAAATATAATCATGTAAATGACAATTTTCTTATTTAATGTTAGCAACATGTTCAAAACAATAAAATTGCATAGAATTGTCAGCATTAAATGCTTCTTCAATATACAAACTTTATTTCCGTCTTCCTAGCTTAATTTTGTTCTGAACATCAAGGAAGATGGTATGTCATATACATTATCATTAGCTTGCGTTGGTCAGCTAAAACATGGTTGGGAGCAGAAATCTTATTAGAGAACTTCTTAAATTCCAAAACCTTATCCTCCTTCAGTTAACTGTCAGAATCCAACCCAAGGGATCAGTGACGATTGTGTTTTCCACACTGAGGACTGCATATGAGCAGCTAGCCATCAATATCTACCTTGGCTTACTAGTTAATCTGATCTTTAGAAATATCTTTTCCTTTATTTTAACCATAGTCTTCTCCCTAGTAGGAGACGCTTGTGGCAGTGGGAAAAGGAAGAGTAAATGTACTTTGGTTTGGAGGATGGTGTCTCCCACCCTAGCATACAGTTGTAAAGAAAACTTTACAAGGAACTGTGAAGTAGTAGAACAAAGATACTGATCTTGTTAAACCTGGACTGGCCAATAGAGAACATATCCTCTTAAATCCTGCTTAGACTTAGAAGGATCTATCTATATATCTTGTGCATCTACTTGGCTTTGTAATTGTGTCCTTACCTACTGTTTATTTAATTAAATATGATAAAACAGCCTGGAACATCTTTCTCAGTGTGAAAGCAGGCACAGCTAGGCCATGGTCATGACTGCACCTTTGCATAGCACTGCAATATGAATACATTTTTTCATATCTTCAGAAAAGTTATCTCCCTGCAATACAGTATGCTGTATTTATTTTCCCAAATTGAGCAACATAAATCAAATTAAGCATTTTGGTTTATGCAAAAGCTGGAAATACTATTGCTCTTTGACCTCCATTTTTCTTCCCTTACCTATGATTACATATGGTTAAAGGTGGTGTCATGTTAAACCTCCAATGCTGATGAGCACTGTATATATGTATATATACAAATATATGTACATATACATATACAAATATATGTATATATACAATGTATATAACCAAAGCTTCTACTTCAAGTGCTCAAGCTTACCTAATTACTGCTGCCAAGAACTGGAGACCCAAGAATTAGGTTTGGCCCTAGTGATGTCAGTGAAAGCACAGAAACCTCTACCCAACCATTTCTTGTGGGCAAATAGCATATGTCCTAAATTCCTAATTTTCTGAAGAATACCTTGCTGAGCCAGAATGATGTTAAAATTTCAATTTCATATTGTGTCACAAACACCATCTAGTATTGTTAAAACACATACACTAGACTTTTTTATTTCTGGGGTTGTTGTTCTTTTTTTTGCTCTGAAGGAATATTTGAGACATTACTGAAGCGTTTGTTGGTTTTGTGATTTGGTTTTCTTTTTCTTTAAGCCTTAGAGCTTTAACCTTATAGTTCAACATTGCCTAATTAACCTGCCATGGCCTTGCTACTCCATTTAAGCTGTGCCTTCTGTCACATTGGACTCATTTAAGCAGAGTGTCTTCAGTCCCACTGGGCTTAAAAATGTGTTATTTAGCAGCTACATGTACTAAAGAAGTGCTGTGTAATTTTGTGCTGTAAGGAAAAGGGATATCTCAGGCAGGTGTTCCTTGTGGCTCTAAGGAAATGCCAAAAAAAAGATATTACCATCATATTCAGCAAAGCTCCTCACAGGGCAAGCAAGCTCTATCCTTGCATCTAAACAGCAAGCAGAATTAGGATCATGAGTGATATATCCCAGTGCTCTGCCCATCTCCCCTTTTTTCATCTTTAAAGCCACTTTCAGCATGGCTGTGACAAACACCATACAAGGGTGACATATCTGGACTC